AAGAAATCCTGCCATTTGTAACAACATAGATGGACCAAGAAGGTATCATGCTAAGTGAAGTAAGCCAGGCCAAGAAAGACAAATACCATATGACTTCAATTATTTGTAGAATCTAAAAACAAAACAAAACAAAATGAACAAAAAATGCCAAGCCCTCCCCTTGCCCAGTCATGGTGGGACACTTCTTGGAAGATAATTCCCACAACTAAGGTATTTCACTCCTTACCTACCTCCCAGGGCACCATCATCTCATTTTACAGGTGCCCTACCATGTGTACACAGTAGGTGTTCAGTTTTCACCAAAGACCCTCCATGGCAGCACCTCCCACATCCTGTTCACATTCTCACCTGGCAGTAGAACCATAGACACTGAGAAGTGACTGGTGGTTGCCACGCAGGAGAGGCTGGGGTGGCAGGTGGATAAAAGGGCACAAAAATTCTCAATCATAATAAAAGTTGGTCATGGGGATGGAAGTGCAGCATGGAGAATATAGCCAATTACTCTGTAACGCCTTCCTAGGTTGCAGATAGTAACTGCACTAGTTGGGGTGAAGATTTAATATTGCATGTAACTGTTGAACCACGGGTTGTATACTTGCAACTAATATAAGATAGTATATCAATAATACTTCAATTTAAAAAAATACTAGGCTTGTTTGTGGCAGTTGAGCAGCCTGATGTGATTTCTGATGTTAAAAATCACTTGACTGAATTGATGGATCAGTTTAGATGAACTCTTCAGATCCAAGAGTGCAGGATAGGGAAGGCCTGGGCCAACCCAGAGGAGGGAACCTTTCCCAGGCAGACCCATCTGTGAATGCCTATTTCTAGGAGCACCACTTACTGGGTTCATCTCTACCACTGTCTCCGTGTTTTGTTATCTGGAATTTGGAAATATCCTCAGACTGTCTCTTCTATTTTCTTAGTCAAATGGAACAAACAAACAAACAAAAGAAAAGCTTGGGAATGAAGCCACCATTTTCCTCCAAATATAAGATACAAGCTGCTAGTTTGTATCTCAAAGTGGCTTTGTTTTATTTATGTCACAGTTTGAAGAACATGGTGGGCCCTATTATTTCTTTGTGCACTGAAGTGGTTGGACTTCTTTCTCTTTATTTAGGCATGATTATTGATTTTTTGACAATGTTTAATATGAAAAGGTATAAATCTCCATGCAATCAAGCCATTTAACCATAAATATCTGGGCAAGAGGCCATGTGGTGATGTCTGCAAGGAGGAAGTCCTGTGTCACCGTTGTTCAGCCACCAGACCCATGCTGTTAGAGGGAAGGTGTATCAAATGTCTGAATCTGCACATGCTGGATGTATTCAGACAAGCTTTAAGAAATACAGTGTGGTTTTAGAAATATTTTAGCCACAAATCAAATGTCAGGTTAAAGCTCAGCATTGATAGCGTACCACCACTCCGTGTGATGTAACCCATAAAAAGAGCGCCCACATCTTTGCTCCAGACAGACCCTTTTTTTCTTAGAAGTCCATTATTCAGGGGATTCTTCTGTAGCACCAGCAAGTCCCATTAGGAGCTTCCATCTGCTCTACTGCTAACGGCTTCTGCTTTCTCACTGTCTCCTCTGATGTCATCTCAGACTAAGCCAGCACCTGATTTTTTTCCCAGATTCTAGCAACACCCTGCTGGTCTCTTTGCAGGCACACTGGGCCCCCTTCCATCCGCTCTACACACAGCTGCCAAGTTATTCAGCTCATATCTTCTCCTGCATAAAACTTGGAAATGCCTTTCCATTTTTTATCTGTTAAGGTTTGATCAGAGAAAGAAAACTGTAAGTGAAATGGAACAAGGATTTATTACAGGGATTAGAATGTGCACGGTTATTAGGATAGTGAACTGAAAATCAATTCACCAAACAGGCTTGCCAACTCGACCACTGCATGTAAAATTGTACAGCAGGTGCCCTGACCCAGGTGTAGGACCGGCTGCAGTGATGAAGTGGCAGGAAAAGGGCAGAAGTCTATGAAATAGGAAGGACAGTGAAATTCCACTCTTTCATAGTAAAATAACCAGGAAGTCCTACCCTCTGAAATGTGAAATGTAACTGAAATGGGTATTCAACCTAGGTAGATAGCAAAATCTTAGCATATGGCCTGGGTCAAGTAACTGTGGTAAAATCTCAATGAACTTAACTAAAATTGCCCATAAACTAACCGTCCATCTCCAGTCTCCAATAGTTTGGCAAATTTGCTATATATTTCATGAAAGTTAACTTATAAATACATATATTTTCAAAACGCCAGATCCTACATACAGACTAGTTTCCAGCTCAGTGCCATAGTACTGATTCTCTTTCCCTTAACTTTTAAAAAGTTTATCAAAGTTCTATGTTATTTTTGCATTCTATATCCATTGCAATTAGAGGGAATGTTTCCTTTGACCAGGCTATGGTAGTAATTGCAGACTCTCCTCAGTCTCGACTGCTCAGATTTCACATTTGAAGTACAAAGTTTTTGGCAAATGTGTTTACAGCTTCAGCTCTCCTTTTCCTACTACCTTCTGTTGCAGGTGTGCACAATGCTAAAGCTCCCCACGGATGCCTGAAGCCTGCTTGTTTGGCTGGGGGGGTCACTTCTGCTGCACGGTTGTACACTACAGCGCTCATTGACCCTGACCTCCCTCCTTACTCATCTCTTTGGCTGAAGACCATTAATAGTCCCTTGTCTGAATATTGAGAAGAAAACAACTTCTAGGCTCAAGGTGGACCACAGAGCACTCCCTAGCTGCACAGGAACCATGTTTTCTATATGCATAGTTTATCCCCCTAAAAAGACAAATTCCAGCAGAGAGCAGTGTTGGCTACAGTTGTTCCTTAATTTTTTATCCTTTAAGTAGGGGTTGCATAGTGTGTGATCATAAGAAGGACCAACTAGTTGTGCCTGAGAGAGCTTGAGGAATTTCCCAGAAGAGACGGTATTTCTTAGGTGATTTTTTTTCCCACAAAGACTCACAGGTTGTGAACTTGAAACTTACCAACATTGCTCTTTCAAATTTATATAAGTTAAATATGCAGTTTGGTACTTTTCTAGGAAAAGTGATAGTGTTTCATCAATTTATCCATGTTTCTGGCCCCCAGTGACTCTCTAAGAGCACATTGGTTAGACTATCAGCCAGAAAGAAGGAAAGAGCAAATTACCCCATATGGAAGGCTGAATCTATTATGAAATAGATGCTGCTTAATCACAGATTCTATGAAATCTGTGATTTCATTAACTGAACATATTCCTTGCTTGCAGTAATAGGGAATAAAGTATTTAACAGTGAGTTCCTAGACAGCATCAGTGAAAAATATTGCTGTGCGTAGTGACTGGCAGGTACATAGTAATTCTCTAAACACATACTACCTTCTTTTATCAGGGCCACCATGTGAATTATTTAGGTGTTGCAAACTTGGCTAACAAAAGACCACCACCAAACAAAAATTAGTGGCCATGCTAACCACAAGTCCTAAAGTTCCCTGTCCAAATAGTCTAAATCAATCATTTCCATATTGTGAGCCAATGAATATCAAACACCTGAGTTCCAGATAATTGTAGTGGCTTGATATAATTTGGCCTCTGAATACAACCTTTTCTCCAATTCTGATTTATGTTCCTCTTGTCTTATGCTCCCCCAAATTATCTCCCCTCTAATTAAAAAATTCCTCTGAAAAGAAATAACCTAGGGCTCAAAAAATATATCATAAAGTGAGCATAACAAAGCCATTGTTCGTCGACTGTGTGCTCTGTGCCAAACACTTACCTGGGGCATCTTATTTGATTCTTTGACAGCATATGAAATGTGCGTTGTTATTCTAACTTACAGATGAGAAAATTGGTGCTCAGAAAGTCAGAGAAGGTCCTCAAAAGGACAGGGGGTGGAAGTGATTTCAGAATGTCTTTTAAAGGAGCAAGTTGAGAGCTTCTACACACGTTCTCTTACCCAGTTCCAACCTACGGGTCTCTGCCCGCATCTGCTGGGTGCTCCTGGGGGCACGATTTCTGCGAGGGGTTACTCTTGGTGATGCTGGTGTTTGTCTTACTCTTCCAGTGACTCTTTTTTCTTTCCAGGTGCAATCCCCTCCTTTAAGAGACGTACTTTCAAATTAAGGTGGTGGAATTGGGGTTCTTGCTGTCACTGATAGAAACTTGGTGAATACCTCATTTTTGTTACAAATGAGAGTAAATAAGGGATAAATAGGGAGGTATTTACTCTTTTTAGAGATAGATTTCAGTTTAATAAATCACAATCGCTTTCATTATGACTGAGGATTTTTGCTTTTAATGATTTTGGAAGTATGTTTCTGACTGTGTACCCTAGATTTACATACAGAATGTAGAGGGTTTTTTTTTTTATTAAACCTAGGTGTACCACCATAGTTGTTTTTTGGGGGAACTAATCTGTGAGATCAAGGTCAGAAATTTTGTCTTATGCCTCTTTGTACTTCCAATTTCCAGCATATGGTGGACCTTCCACAGCAGTTCATTCACTTGGATAAGTGGATGAGTAATGCAATCATCAGTAGCTTCAGTATGTTTAATTTAGCTGAAAAAAGACAAATGAAATAGTTCTGATACATGGCTGGCTTTGATATGTTATTGATTAGGTAGAGTTTTTTTTTTCTTAGTGGAGATTATTGTTGAATTATCCAAGGAAGCATTGCTCTGACTAATGAGATAAAATTAAGCAAAAGAAAAATGTGAACTGAATATCAAGAAATATTTACAGTAGATGAGGTTGGGATTAAATCAGGCAGAGGAGTCCCAGTGGAAGTGGTCTGGGGACATTTAACACCATGCATGTCACTTAGAGCTGCAGTGAATTTACGCAATTTACAAGGGACAAACTGGCTTTGGCAGGATGATAAGTGAGATCGTATCTCTAGTTGCATTGATTCTCCTTCTTATACAGGTATACATATGGAGCCTCCCATCCCCTATGGATAGAATTTATGTGTGTGTTTAATTTTCTGATTATAGCTTTCTTTTTTCCAGAAAACACTCTTTTTAGAGCAACTCCTGGTACAGTCAGCATGTCTTCCTTAAGTGGGAAAGTCCAAACTGTCTTGGGCCTTGTGGAGCCAAGCAAACTGGGCCGCACCCTGACCCATGAACATTTGACAATGACCTTTGACTGCTGTTACTGCCCACCTCCTCCATATCATGCAGCTACCTCTAAGGAACCTATTATGATGAAAAATTTATTTTGGATTCAGAAAAACCCTTATTCCCATAAAGAGAATCTTCAGTTGAATCAGGAGATGGAAGCCGTAAAGGAAGAACTGTTGCATTTTAAAGCCACAGGTGGAGGGGCTTTGGTGGAGAACACAACCATCGGGATCAGCCGAGACGTGGAGACTCTGAAGTGGCTTGCGGAGGAGACTGGTGTCCATATCGTATCCGGAGCTGGGTTTTATGTGGATGCAACTCACTCTTCAGAGACCAGAGCCATGTCAGTGGAACAGGTAAAAAGCCCTAAGTTCTTTGACAATATTTGAGTAAATTCAAAATAGCCAGACTTCAGGTGTTATATTATCTCTACATGCCATCTCCACTGGGCAACGTCATAGACTCAAGAGGTAGCTTGGCATGCTCAGAAATTTGCTAGCTAGCACAGACATCTGCCAATCGGGACCCAGAGTAGGAACATTTCATTTCATAAAGAAAAATGTCTATGAAAGAGATCTTAACACATTGGTCACTGAAAAACTCAATATAATATTTAGGTTCATATATATCGGAGCCATGCTCAGTAGTGGTTGCACAGTCTGTTTATAAGCTTCAATTTTCCATTATAAGCTTCAGTTATATAACCTTGATTTTCTTTCCAGGTTTTATAATAACTAGATAAAAATTCACTGTAGGGAGAAACTTGGCAGGCAGAGATTTGGCCCATTTGCTAAAATGTTTCCTTCTCCTTTTACAAAACAGGAGGGGTGGAAGAAAATCCATTCCCGTTTTTGTCATACATAATATGATCTTAAGCAAGAATGGGCAGAAGGAAGTAAATCTTTGAGGGAAAGAAGAGAAAGAGAAAGCCACAAAGCTTTTTTGCACATGTATGTGCCCTCTTTCTATACATAACTATATGTATTTGTACATATTGTATATATTCTTCCATTGTATTTATCTTCCATTGTTTGATGGGCCTAGAACGTCATTTGTACTCTTTGCAAAAAATTTGTTAATCTTTAAAATACTTTCTACTTCAAATTTTATTGGCATTGTTTTCCAATCAGACCTTTACCTTTTATATATATACATTCTTTGAAGATGATCCTGATGTCCACTAATACATGTTCTCCCAATTACTATTAGCAGCAAATATGCATATGAACAAAAAAATGTAATATTAGTATTGTGTGATGTGCAGAATAAAGGACTGCATAATAAGGGAGAATTAAAGAATTACTTGATGCAGCAGACGTAGATTCAAGGGTAGTCTTTTTATGTTTTAGATGCTCCTCAGGTTAAATGATGGATTTGTTCTCATTTGAATGTACTTTCATTAAATCACATTTTTTCCATGTAGCTTTCTAAAGCCATGAATTTCTCATTGACATAATCACAGTAAGATTTTTTTGAATCTTTGATTTAGAATAACTTGTTCAATTTGAGATTTGCCTAGCAAAACATCATTCTCATTAACCAATACTAACTGAATGGATACTGAATACATTTTTAAAAGAATGAATGACATACTGTGGTGACTCTGTGTCGATAAATTCCACAGTCTATATACTATTTTCATCCTCACTCTTCCTCAGCTTACTGATGTCCTCACTAATGAAATTCTCTGTGGAGCTGATGGAACCAGTATCAAATGTGGTGTCATTGGAGAAATTGGCTGCTCCTGGCCTCTGACTGAGAGTGAGAGAAAGGTCCTTCAGGCAACAGCTCATGCCCAGGCTCAGCTGGGCTGTCCTGTTATTATTCACCCCGGGAGGAGTCCAAGGGCACCATTTCAGATTATCCGAGTGTTGCAAGAAGCTGGTGCAGACATCTCCAAAACCGTTATGTCACATCTTGATAGGTAAGCAAACTGTCTACAAAGTAGTACAAACCCCCAGATGATTATGGGTGATCAAATAAATAAAACATCAGATCAATGAAATACTCATCACCAAGAGAAACCCACTAACCACCTGGAAGATGGTATTTATAAAGTTTTACAATAGGCATTAATCAACATCAGTGCTACCATTTTTGTGTCTCTACTTTGCATCTGGACAGTATCCTAGCTATTTTGTGTAAGTCATTTATTTTTAATTTACTTAACCCTTCATAACTCTTCATAGTAGGTGTGTACTTCTGTTCTTTGTCTCAGGGTCAGATGTCACAGTAGCTGCATTTGCCAGTAGTTAGAGTGATAAATTCATCTGCAAAAGTAAGGGAAGGGAAAGTGAATGGTTTAACCCTGAGAAGAAAACCACAAATAATAAATGCTCAAGTTTACTGTTGTGACTGGTGGCTTGAATTGACTGAATTTTGGAAAATGCAATTGTAAAAAAAAGTAATAATAGGTATATAATTTGGTGGTATTATGTCTTAATTTCCTATGGCCACTGTAACAAATTTAAATAGCTTAAATTGATTTTCTCACAGTTCTGAGGCCAGAAGTCTGAAATTGAGGTGTTGGCAGGACTGCGCTTCCTCCAAAGGCTCCAGGGCATCATCTTCCCTTGCTTTGTTCACTGTCTGGTTGCCCCAGGCATTCCTTGGCTTGTGGCTACACAACTTCAGTTTTTGCTTCTGTCTTCCCATGACTTCCTCCTGTGTGCGTCTTCTCTTGTTTCTCATAAGGACCCTTGTCATTAGATTTAGTGCCCATCCAGATAATTCAGAATGATCTCCTCTCAAGATCCTTAATTATATCTACCAGGACCCTTTGCTCAAATAGGTACTTTTAGAGGTGAAGAGGGTTAAATTATGGACACATCTTTTTGGAGTCCACAACTCAACCCTCCTTATTATATGAAATGTAATAGGGGTCAGCAAAATAATTAACTATATAAGCAGATGTTGGCTGCAGTTAGTTTTATACAGAAGTCTAACAGTGTTGCAAAGGCTAGACATTAGCCTTTGGATTGAATTAAGGATTTAACATGGTACCAATGAGACTAATAATACCTTACAATTACTTCTCTCTTGCATATAGGAATAAAGCCATATTAACAGACTGATAAATCCTCATCATCACACCTGACATTCTGATGTCTAATAAACTAACAAACTGTATTGACAAATTAAACTGCAAAATGTACTGACAAAATGCTTCTACTTAATAGGAATATTGTAAAACCTGTACAGCAAAAAAAAATAAAACAAGTTATAATTGTGGCAGAACAGAGAAATCAGTATTAATGGGGAAAGTGAGGAACATCAAAGTAGAGGCAATTCTCCTGGCAACTGGGCTGGTACCAAGGTCCATCCTTGGCCATCTTCAGGCATCTTCTGAGTTTATTTACATTGACTATGTTTACTGCTATGCTTGTTCCATTTCTTCTTTTCGTAATAGTTATTGTTATCCTATCTTGATTTGATGATTTTTTTTCACTTCCTTATACTATTTGCCCCTTTAATTCTTTGGAAGGTGTGTATACTATTTTTAGCCTATTAGTGGTTATAATAGAAAATTTAATGTGTGTATTTAACATAACAAATTTTAAATAAATATTTTTACCATCCTTCCTAGTAATATAGAAATGTTAGAACCCTTAAACTTTAATCACTAACCATCTAAATCTAGTGACCATCCATCATCAGATGATTGACCCTCTTCACCTAGTTCCTTCCCTAAGCCCCCTTCCCCCCTGGTAACCAATCTGTTCTCTGCATCTATGAGTTTGTTTCTGGTTTTTGTTTTGTTTGTTCATTTGTTTTGCTTAGCTTCCATATATGGATGAAATCATACGGTATTTGTCTTCTCTGTCTTATTTCAGTTAGCATACCTTCAAGTTCCATCCATGTTATCATAAATGGCAAGATTTCCTTCTTTATATGGCAGAGTAGTTTTCCATCGTGTATATATCACATCTTCTTTATCTATTCATCCATCAGTGGACACTGAAGTTGTTTTCATTTCTTGGCTATTGCAAATAATGCTGCAGTCAACACAGGGGTGAGTACACCTTTTTGAATCAGTGTTTTTATATTTTTGGGATAAATGCCCAAAAGTGGAATAACTGGATCATATGGTAGTTCTATTTTTAACTTTTGAGGAATCTCCATGCTGTTTTCCACAGTGGCTGCACCAATTTATATTCCCACTAACAGTGGACAAGGGTTCCCTTTTCACTACATCCTTGTCAACACTTGTTATTTCTTGTCTTTTTGATAATACCCATTCTAACTGGTGTGAGGTGATATCTTACTGTGGTTTTGACTTGCATTTCCCCAATAATTAGTGATGTTGAACATCTTTTCATGCACCTGTTGGCCATCTGTATGCCTTCTAAAAAACTGTCTACTCAGATCCTCTGTTTTTTAATTGAGTCTTTTTCTTGTTGTTGAGTTATATGACTGCTTTATGTATTTTGGATATTAATGCCTTATCAGATATATAATTTGCAAAAATCTTCTTCCATTCAGTACATTGCCTATTCATTTTGATGATGGCTTCTTTTACTGTGAAGAAGCTTTTTAGTTTGATGTAGTCCCATTTGTTTATTTTTGCTTTTGTTTCCCTTGCCTTTGGAGTCAGTTCCACAAAAATATTGCAAAGACAAATGATGAGGAGATCACCACCTATATATGCTTCTAGGAATTTTATGATTTAAGGTCTTACATGTAAGTCTTAAATCCATTTTGAGTTGATTTTTGTGTTTGGTGTAAGACAGTGGTCTAGTTTCATTCTTTTGCATGTGGCTGTCCAGTTGTCTCAATACCATTTATTGAAGAAACTGCCCTTTCTCCATTGTATGTTCTTGGCTCTTTGTTATAAATTAAGGAACCATATATGTGTGTGTCTAATTGTGGGCTCTCAATGCTGTTCCATTGATCTGTGTGTCTGTTTTTTAATGCCAATACCATACTGTTCTGATTGCTTTAGGTTTGTAGTATAATTTAAAATCAGGGTGGGTGATGCTTCCAGCTTTATTTTTCTTTCTCAATATTGCTTTAGCTATTTGGGATCATTTGTGGTTCCATACAAATTTTAGAATTATATGTTCTAGTTCTGTGAAAAATGCCATTGGAATTTTGATAGATTTTGCATTGAATCTATAGATTGCTTTGAGCAGCACTGATATTTTAACAATATTAATACTGCCAATCCATAAGCAAAGAATATTTTTCCATTTCTTTGTGTCTTCTCCAGTTTCATTCATACCTTATGGTTTTCAGTGCACAGGTCTTTTACTTTGATTAAAATTATTCCTAGGCATTTTATTCTTTTGATGCAATTGTAAATGGGAGTTTCCTAATTTCTCTTTCTGATAATTTGTTATTAAGATGTAGAAATATCACAGTATGTTGATTTTGTATCCTGCTGCTTTACTAAATTCATTACTTTAACAGTTTTTCACGGAGCTTTTTGGGTTTCTTATGTATGGTATCATGTCATCAGCAAATAATGACAATTTAACTTTTTTCTTTCTGATTTGGGTGCCTTTTATTTCCTTTTTCTTGCCTAATTGCTCTGTCAAGGAGTTCCAATGCTATGTTTAATAAAAGTGGTGAGAGTGGGCATACTTCTGTTGTTCCTGAACTTAGAAGAAAGCCTTTCAACTTTTCACCACTGAGTACGATGTTAGATGTCAGTTTGTCATATACGACCTTTATTACGTTTAAGTACATTTCCTCTATACTCACTTTGTCAAGAGGTTTTTATCATAAATGGATGTTGAATTTTGTCAAATGTCACTTCTGTATCTACTGAGATGATGATTTGATTTTTATCCTTTGCTAAAGTGGTATATCATGTTGGTTGATTGACAATTGTTGAATCATCATACCATTCCTAGAATAAATCCTACTTGATCCTGGTGTATGATCCTTTATTGTTATCTTAGATTCCTTAGAAATTATTATGAGTTCTGATTTGGAGGATTTTGATTCCTATTTTTTTGTTTGTTTCTTATTGGTAATTAAGGGTTACTACCAAACTGGGACTTCTTTAAATGAAATTTTAAAAACTTTAAGAAATGTTTAAATTGTGGTAAAATACACATAACATAAAATTTATCATCTTACCCGGTATTAAGTGTAATGTTCAGTAGTGTTAATTGCATTCACATTTTTATGAAACCATCCCCACCCTCCATCTCCAGAACTCTTTTCATCTTGGAAAACTGAAACTCTGAACCCACTAAATAGGAACTACCCATTTCCCCTCTCCCAGCCCCTGACAACCACCATTCTACTCTCCATCCTTATGAATGTAACTACTCTGGGTACCTCATAAAAGTGGAGTCATACAGTATTTGTCTTTTTGTGACTGCTTAAACTTTTGAGGGGTTAGAACCACACAGGTGCCTTAAATTCCGGACCCTAAACTCAAGTGAGTGCAGATATGTAGTTACAGATTCTCAAGGGAGACATTTTTCTTAACCTGGCCACCTTTCACCAGAAGACAAGACTGACAAAGACATATAATCTCCAAAGATTTCTTCTGTGGGCCAAGTTTGTACCTTGTCCACCACGTGAGTGTTGTCTTAGGTGAGAGGAACACCCCCTTTCTGTGCTGGCAGAGGCTGTGTTTCCAGTTTATCTCCTGCCTTATCCAGACCTTGGCTCTGTCTCACTTGGCCCATTAATCCCCATAACCCCTGGCAAATGGTAGCTCTGGGTCTCCCCTTACTCCCCATTTTCTCTGCTCTCTTTTTGTTTCTCCCCACAAGCAAGCCCTTCATTTTCCCATCAGCTTAACCAAGCATTTACATATATGAATTCTTATTCCTTTCATTTTATTCAGTATTTTACATGTAATATGCTGGATAGGTTTCCTGTGAATGTTTAGTCTGCCATACTGCTTGAACCCGTGCACAATTATTAAGGAATCTCTCTAACTCTTTTTACAGTCAGACATGGAGG